AGGAGGAACCATACACTTCACGTGCCCCAAGCACGCCTCTTCACGTGTTGCATCTTGTTGGTCTCCGCCGCGGTCCAGCAACAAGTCCTCTAGATCCGATCTTCTGACTCTATCCTGTATCCATCCCCTTCTGTGCTTATCTACTGCTACTGTTTTAATCGCCAAACAATCCCATCAGCTCTTGCCTCCACGACGATAACCCTGGCCTACTTCTGTTCCTCGAACATGTCAAGCTTATTCCCTGGTCAGGACATTGGTAATCACGGTGCTCTTTGCCTGGCAGAGTCCAGCCCCGGATCTTTACATGGTTGGTTCCTTCTCAGCCGTAGGGTTTCTGCTCCATCATTGCCTTCTCAGAGAGGCTCTGCCTGACCACTCTGTGTAAGTAGATTGTTCCTGGCCTAGGACCTGGGCTATTTTGTTCCTAACGCTTACCACACTAACTTCTTTATGCATTGGTTCGTTGGTTGGTTGGTATTCTCTTGCTTCCCAGATAAGTGCTAAATGACCACCTTGTACGAGAGTGGCAAACACCTAATAAGAGAGGCTCTCATTCGTGTTGTTGGACGCTGAATAAAAGGCCACCTGAGGCCTGTTATGTTTTTTGCAGGTTACGGAAGGGGTGGTGGGGGGTGGGGGAGTGTTAGTGGAGAATCTCCCTTTACATCCACAGGAACACATGTGTGCCCGCCACTAGCTCCTGCAGGTTTTGAGGGGTCTGTGTTAAAGGCACAAGGGATACCTTGCCCTGCCTTGATTTCCTTCTAAGGGATTAAATTCGTTCACTGCTCCTTAATACGACACGTCCATAGTGAGTGAGAGGGGGAAAAGAGAAGATGTTAGCATATGATCCTAAGGTCACCCAGGGTGGGCAGCAGTGATGCCAGGACTCCCATCTAGTGAGCTCTCTGGCTGCATGGCGGCAGGCACGTTCCTCGGTCTCCCTGTGCCTTGGTTTCTCCATGTGCCCAGAGGGCAGGCAGTCAGGGCGTGAGCCCATAGGGCGACCGAGACTGTCCATTCTCAGAACAGGGCAGGCACCGGGAGCCCTCAAAATGCCTCTGATAGATCTTGCTGAGCAGCCGCCAGCTGGAGAACTCGGGAGCCTGAGAAAAGCTGCTG